CCCTTGGCCCCGCGGGCTCCTCCGGCGGCGCTGCTGTCCCCCTGTTAGACAGGTGATGCTGCCGCATGCAAGCGTGAAATGAAGTCTTGCTCGCCAACCGCGTTGGATAGGGCAGGTGTAGCTCCTGGGCGGGTGTTAGTAGGTCAGCAAAATATATGTGCTGCGTTTTGTTGTTTTATTTTTTTAAAGAGCCCACATTGCTCAGAATGCTTTCTCGTCTCGGCCTGCTCAGAGCGACCGCGGTTAGAATTGCTGGGGGTTGTCAGTGCCGGCTAGAGCGGAGTGTGTGTCGTTTCGTGTTTCACGTGTCCCCGTGCGTGCTGGATCCCCGCTCGGTGTTGGTGCAGAGGAACCTGTGAGCACAGGCAGGCAGGAGCAGAGGACCTGCAGCCCAGGCCGGAGGGTTCACCCCTCTCCTGCTGGCCCAGGCTTTGTAGTTAACGTGCTCGTCACGCTTCAGTGCCTGGGTGAGGAGTGGAACTCCATCTTCCGTGGGATCCAGAGGTGTAATTCCATGTTTTGCGAGCCTCGGAGCTCTGCCTGCTGCCTAAGAGTTGCAGTCCTGTCTTCCTCTGGTTGCAGGTGCTTTTATGTCCTTGTGGGAATCTGCACTGGGAGCCAATACAGCTTTAAAATAACTCATTTTGGGTTTTAAGTTAGGTTGAAATAGCCTCCCAGGCTGCCAAGAATCAAGCAGGGCATGGTCAGACCTCTGCTCTCAGGACAGCGTGGATTAGGGTGCTTAAACATCTCCACACAAGCCAATCTTTGTCCCTGTACTTCCAGAAGCTCCTAAGAACTTGACCTTATTTGTGAAGTGTGTCACACCAAAATTCAGGACTTGGATGTGTGATCTCCAGGACTGCTGTGCTGGATTTACTGTTCTGAAATATTTTGCCATCTAAACAAGATGTTCTGTAACCATGTGTTGTTACCATTTTCGGCTCTGAAATTCAAATATTTGTGGAATTATTTTTTTTTTTTTTAATCTCTTCAGGTCTTAATCACAAACCCCAAGAGGGTTTTTTTAAGTTTTAGTTTTTGTAGTGTTTTAGTTTCTGTTTGCTTGAGATGTAAATTGCTACAAAACTACCTATTTCCATTGAAAAATTTTCCTATGTAGTGTCAGAAGATATAAGCATAGTTAGTAGAAAACTTCCTTTTCATGTAAAGTTCAAGTAGTGTGATTGCTGGCCAGGCCTTCCAGATTGAAAGCCTTGCAGCTGGATTCATTCCTTGGTTTTGTGCAGGGCTGATAGGTTGTACTGTAGTAAAATGGGACTCAGAATTATGGCAGATATTTCTTCTCCAAAGCTGATCTTCCTTTACATCGCAGAGATAACCAGCAGAACTGGCTGCTTACAGCTGCTTACAGTAGTTGCTCTATAATCCAAGATATGCCTTGTGAATCCTTTGGAGGAAAAATAATGTGGTGTTGTTAGCATGGAAAACACATAATCACTGGATGATTATATGCAGTGCTTTTATTGAAGAGCTCTGGGAATCAGGGGTACAGACAAACCCAAATCTGACTGCAACATGGATTTGAGATGGACACATTTTTATTACCCTTTCTTTACATAGTTGTTGTATAATCATCTGTTAATCATTACTTTGCTATTGTTCTATTGTGTGTATATTGATTTCACCCAAGCATGAGTTCGAGTTTCTTTTCCCATAATTGTTGTATAATTATCTATTATACAGGTGGGTACATACAGGTAGGTACACAGGTGTAGGTTCACATCGTTCTACTAAGACAATGCTCATTCTCCTCACTAAGGCCTACTTTAGCTACCACGATTTTGGAAACATTTTAACTCCATGTTATCAGTGTATTTGTTGTGTTTTCTTTTCAAATTTCAAATTAGTACTAGTCTACTCATTTTTTAAGGGAGAGCATTGTCTTCAGCCTTATCAGAGCTTTCTGCCCAGTTGCTTCCATAGGTCCTCATCGATATTTATTTAGGTGTTATAAAACAACTTGCCTTTCCCTTGCTGCTGACATAGGTGTCCTGAGGCAGGATGGAGTGGGATATGGAGTATTTTAAATACAGCTTTGGTGGTTTTTTGCAGCCCATGAGACTAAGTGGTGACCAGATGTATTAGTTATGGTACTGAAAGGAATTTCTTTAGCTACTAAAGACAACTTAGCCCACAATTGAACTGCCTGTTTCCATTGCTGCTTAAATTTAAAATCAATTATGGCTGATCACCACAACTTTAATTTCAAGTGCTGCTTAGAATTTAGTTTCTGTGCAATGCATTCAGATTTGTGGTTTTTTTTTTTTTCCATGCAGGTGTGGAAAAATGGCAAAGAGAATTGCAGAGAAGGAGCTGACTGACAGAAACTGGGATCAGGAGGATGAAGCTGAGGAGGTAAGATATGCTTTGGTTCCCACCACCACCTCTGCAGGTCGTAGAGTAGTTATTTGCATATGCTTATGGGTAAAATCCACAGTAAAACTGGTTAAAATTGTAGCAATTAAAGATAATTTTATATAAGTGGAATTTTTTTAAAGTATTTTTATAAAGCTTCCAATATATACAGAGCATATGGCAAAGCAGCTTTTAACAGTTAAAATGACATCAGTGGCTCAGGGGAAAGGAAGTTTACATTTCTAGAGGGAAGCCCAGGCTCAGTGAAATGCATTTGAACTCTTCAGATGTATGAGAGGTATTTATTGAATCCATGAGAAAAGCAGATTTGACTTCTTGAAATAAATTTTCTTCAGGTCTCCTGTATCTTGGTTTTTTAGGGGTCAGTAATAGCTAATTTCAGAACTATGTTAATTTTAGCTGAATGTCCCCACAGAGACAGAGGAATTAGGCAAATAGGCAAATAATGTGTTTCATCTAATGGTAAGAAGATATTTTCAGGGTTGGTGTCTCATAGTTACTTATGGCTCGTGTATTACCTTTGAACAAACCTTCTGTCCTACTGAAAGTATGAAATGTTTAGACCTGTAAATGTAAGAAAGAAAACTGAGTCTTCCAGAAGTTTGAATATAAGAAAATTTAGTTTCCTCATTTATGATCCAGCTGTTAGCCTTTACCAGTGTCTGAACTACAGCAGGAGATGACCTTAGCGCTCACACCTCCATGTACCTTCTCCAAACTGCAATAGTGGCAGATTCCCTTCAGCAGAGAGAGCTTAGAGCTCTGATTAAAAAACAAAGCAAAACTTGCACTATTTGTTGTAATAAAATGGAGATTACATGAAGAGAAATGTAGTGCAGAACAAGTTTTCCAGGTATCAGCTCATGTCCAGGTCGCTGGGAAGCTGATCACAGTGCTGTATTTCTGGGGTGGGTTGTTCATTAACTTCTTCCCTTGTTTGTGAGGGAGCAGTGCTACACTTGTGTTCAGAAACTGACCTCGGCTGTCTCTTCAGATGACACACTTTGAGAATTCCACTAATGATTCTATAACTTCCTCTTGAAGGTGGGAACATTCTCGGTGGCGAGCGAAGAGGTCCTGAAGAACAGAGCTATCAAAAAAGCAAAGCGCCGAAACGTCGGTTCGGAGGTAATGTGGTCACTGAACCTGAGCGTTAGGCTCTGACTCCATTGCAAAATACAACATCTGCCTCAGGTTTTTACTTCCTTGGCTTGTAGTGATGCTTATGAAGTTTTCATTTGAACTTATCAGCTTATATCTGCAAATGAATTTTGGCTTCCTGTTCATGGTAAGAATAAGGCTAGGAGGAAAAATGGGTAATATTAGTATTGACTGGAGGAAGAGAGTATTTTTGAAGTAAAAACGAAGAGTGTTTCTGACACAATGTCCTCTGCAGATGGGTAAAACAGCATTTGAACTGCTCTACTTTCAATCTTTGCAGAGATGGAAGTCTGGAAATGGAAAGTTACTAGTTATCCATACTGGAGGGCTGTTCTGAGACTGGAAAACACATCTTTTGTTGAGAATGTTTCTCCTTTTCTTCCCTCCCTGTAAGGAGCTTTAGTGCCACCTACTCTTTGCAGTAAGATATTGAAAATGGAAAGGAGGTTGGCCTTTGTTACAGGTGTAGTCCCTGTGAAAGCATTAACCCAGGCCAGCCAAATTGTTGTCTTTTCAGAAATCCCTGAAAAATGCTTTGTTGCATATTTGTACGAGACAGCCCTTCAACAGGACATGCAGCATGGTAGGAATAGGACAGGAACTTTACCTGTTACTCAGATTGCTTTTGGATCAGATGGGACTAGGCACAGTTAGGAACTAGATGGTTTTCTCCTGTGCTTTTGACTTCCCTTCTGCAGTCTGGGCAGTGTAAACGAGGGAGCTGTCTTATCCTACTATTGCCTAGAGTAGTTTTAGCCACTACTGTGGTAGAGGATGCAGTTAACTGAAGGATTGTACTGGGAAGAGATGATGCAAGACATAAATTACAACTTGAGCAGGAGAAATGGCATAGGAAACCCGAACTGACTGAGAAAGGGGACCAGATGGTTGTAGAAGAACTAGTAAGGAGGCTGGGAGGAGGCTCTTGGAGATCAGAGCTGGAAGAAGAGCTGGTGTAGGTATTGTGGTTTAACCCCAGCTGGCAGCTCAGTACCACACAGCCCCTCACTCACTGCCTTCCTCCCAGCAGGGTGGGGAGGAGAATTGGGAGCAAAAGGGTAAAACCCCTCAGCTGAGACAGGATCAGTGTTATAATTGAAATATAATAATGATGAGAAGGGAAACAACAGAGAGACCAGTGATGCACAGTACAGTTGCTCACCACCTGCTGACCAATGCCCAGCCTGACCCCAGTCAGAAAATGAACTCAGCCTAAACCAGGACAGGCTGGACAAAGTCTAAAAAGCAGAAAAGATGATAGGACAGCTGAGGTTGCATAAGAGACCTGTGAAGTATTTAGAAAAAGGTAAGCTTGAAATTTATTAATGTTCCTACATGGAGCAGGCAGAATGCTGTGATGAAAAAGGTTGCAGTTTGACTGGAACGTCCAGAGAGAGGTGGGTGGAACTGATCAGAGAGAGGCAGGATAAAAACAGCTTTCTCAGAGGAGAAATGAGAAACTGCACTGGAAAAGGTAAAGCACAAAGGGGAGCAAAAAGAGCTATACCCACATGGCAATGGGTAAGCTTTGCTATGTCTTCAGTGGCAGAAGCAGATGAAACTCGGAGCAATTCTTCTCTGATGGCTTTCCAGGACACTGAAAGCCAACTTCCAGCAGCAAGAGCTCATTACCTTAAAAGACCTAAAAGTACCTAAAAGTGGCAGTGCCTATTTGCATGTTAATCACACTCTTGTCTTTTAGAAACATGTGAGAAACTATACCATAAAATAATATGGTTGTAAACTCAGTGTTCACAAGCTGGTAATGAAAAGGCTGCAAAGATACATTTTTGGTGATCAAGTACAGTCTGTGTGTGCTTCTCCCTTTGGGCACATATTTTACCCGTATTCTGGGTAAAACATTACATAGGTGACTGCTGAGAATGCTGTTTTGATGAGGCACTTGAAGTGCTGGACTCTTCACTGAGGTTGTAAGTGCTAGAAGTTGCTGAAAATAAACCTGAAGTTACATAATTCTGTGTCATTATTTAAAGAAAACAAGATGCTGTGAATACCTAAAGAAGTAGTCAAACACATCCGCTGCTCTGAACAACTTGGATGTACCCACTGCCTAGATCCTGTTTGTTTTCATACCAAACACCTGAGTCCTTTACAAACAGTAGCAGTTATGTGTCAGAGGGAAGCTGTTAACTCTGTTTGCATAGCTGACAGTAATGCTCAGAATGACTCGTGGAGCCAGCGGGAAATAAGCAGAGGACAGCAAGAATATTACGTGGGGATAGGATTTCTGTGGAGGAGATCTGTGTAACTGGTTGTCTCTCTTCTTTTCTCTCCCCAGTCTGAAAGTGGAGGAGCTTTTAAAGGGTTTAAAGGCTTTATGTTGCCTTCTGGAAAAGGAGGAGGTGGCTTCAGTGGATTTGGCAATGGTGCAGGAATAAAGCCTTTGGAAGGGTTGTCTAATGGAAGCAGTAGTGTCTCTAGCACTCCTCCCTTCAGCAGTTTGAAGACCACCTCTGAAACACCATCAGCATTTGGTAAGTTTTAAGTCATCATACAGATGTATCCACACATTCAGCCATAAAACCTGTAGGGTCGTTTTAATAGTGAACAAACAAATTCCAGACCATCCTGTAGGTCTGTTTTAAGACTTTATTCCTCCTTGTAAGATTTCTTAAAAAGATTCCAGGCTGCTGGAGGGACAAGTTATCAGATGCATGCAGTTTGAAGGGGTGGAAGCTAAATTCATCTTTGCTCTAATACTGGAGGTAACAGTTTCATAGACACAAATGGAAGACATCAGCACAAGACACTCCAAATAGTATAAAGCAGCTGATAACATATTCCAGTGAAACAGTTGTCCCAATTCTTTAAATTTAATTAAAAAAAACCCAAGCTAATAGGAAATGTCCATTTAGTAAGACTGCAGTTTGTGTGATTTTTCTTCTTTATGGTCTTGTTTCCATAGTTTTTGCAGTTCCTGGTAAATAGCTGTATAGCTAAAGGCTTAACCTTCCTTCCCTGTACATCTGACATTGCAGACAGTCCTACTGGAGTTGTCTGTTACACTTACACCTATGTTCTAAGATACTTTGCCAAATGTAGCTCTAGTCCCATGCTTTGGAAGTCCATGAGAAGTATTAACTCTATCCCTTTGCTGGAGATGCAGAAATGTTAACCCGGCCCCAGATTCTGGAGTCAGTGTACTGGCGTAGAAATGGTGGAGTTAGAAGTTAAGAGTAACTTAGATTTCAGTGAGCTTGAGTAAATTAGGGGAAATGGAAATATTCAGTAAGGATTTTCTTAATATGCTTCTTATGTTTTTTATACGGAAACCACTTGAAACCACCATCCAGAATCATGGGCTAGTGTGCTCAGGGTATTTAGAGCACAAGTGCCAAGAGAAAACCTGAGTATTTTGATTGAATAAGTGTTACAGCTTGGTAAAGCTGTAAGATTTTTGTTAGGTTTTGAAGTTTTTGGCAAAATATAAAGTTGTATTTTTTAACGTTCTCTAATGTTTTCTTTATACATGCTCCATCTACTTTGTCTCTTCCTGAAATAACTTTTCTGCACTTAAAACCCAGGTCTGTCTCACAGCACTGTCTGCACTGTACAGCAGTACCTGGGACATAGTGTGGTGACCCAAAAGAAGGAACATAACTGAGCAAGGATGAGTGATTGGATTAAGAAACACTGAGAACATAAGTTAGGCTTTTGAGGGAACTCTGCTTTCTGGGGAGAAAAGTGTTCTAAGCCATGTGTTTCTCCTAACAGGGTCCCCGATGTCAAATGGTCCCACTGCCACTGCGTTTGCTGAGAAGAAGGCCGCGAGCCCAAAAGCCAACGGTGGCAACCAGCCCTCGTCGTCGGGCTATGCCTCGAGCCCAGGGTGTGGCTCTGGAGCCTACCACAAGCAGCTGGCTGCCCTCAACTGCTCCGTGCGAGACTGGATAGTGAAGCACGTGAACAGCAACCCCCTCTGCGACCTGACCCCCATCTTCAGGGACTACGAGAAGTACCTGGCGAGCATTGAGCAGCAGCACGGAGGCAGCAGTGACAGTGCTGAAAGTGAAAGCAGCAAGACGCCTGGCCCTCGGGCTGTTTCTGCCTTTGGGAGTTCAAAGCTGCAGCAGGGCTCAGCGTTTTTGTTTAACAACAAACCTGAGGATGCCTCGGACAAAAAACCTGAAGCTGCATCAGAGAAAAAAGACCCATCGTTAGGAGCTGCACCAACTGTCTCGTTTAATTTTGGCAAGAGTGTTGACAGTTCTGTTTTGGGTTCCCTTGGTTCAGGAACACTTAGTAGTTTCTCCTTTTCTCCTGGGAATTCAGGCTTGTTTGGAAAAGATGCAAACCAGGCAAAGTCTGTCACTGCAGTATCCACCAATTTGTTGGAAGCTCCGGCAGAAAGTGGCAGTGGTGACGACAAAGGTAAATTCTGTTTATTTCCATTTATAGTTATTTTAATGGTAAGTGTGTGTGTGACTTAAGAATAGTGCAAAGATGCAGTAATGCTCCATCTGTATTATAGCATGAAGCTGTACCAGAGGAGGCTTAGGCTGGATATTAGGAAAAGGTTCTCCCCTCAGGGGGTGGTTGGGCATTAGAACAGCTCCCCAAGACAGTGACACCTCAGAGCAGTGCTCATGGCTTCAAGCCTGACAGAGCTCAAGGAGTGTTTGAACAACACTGTCAGGCACATGGTGGGATTGATGGGGTTGATCTGGGCAGGGCCAAGAGTTGAGCTCAATGATCCTTTTGAGTCCCTTCCAACTCAGGACATTCTATGATTCTATGGTCATAATTGTTCTTGAATTTGAGAGTGCAGAGCTGAAGCACTCATCTGGAAATCCCAGCCTTGCATACTGTTTAAGCACCGCCAAAAGTATGTGCTTACCAAAGCCCATGTGTTTCTGTCAGATTTATACTTTCTATAATAGAGTATAATTCTTGAACTAGAGAGGATGACATTTAAAGCAGCTGCTATGTTCATCTTTGAGCCTGCAGGACTGTTCAATCCCACTGCTTTTCCCTGTAGGTTTATCAAGAGATCCCTGTGGTAAAATGCATGTGACACAGAACAATTTAGTCCACCTTACTTAACAGCCTGCAAGGCCAACAAAGTTACCTACTACCTGACAGCTTTACTCTGCTCTTCGCCTACGCTGGGTACAGTAAGCTGATAGAAATCCTAGGAGCTGAGGGACTGGAAAGGCATAATCTGCCACTGTCTCTTGGTTGTCATTCCTGCAACTAAATCCCTTCCCTCAAATGAAACCTGGCTGTTGGAAGTGTTTATTGTGCTTTACCAGAACACATTTGTGGAGACTGTTTATTCTTTGAAATGTGTAAACTGTTTTCTGTTAAAATGGAAGATTTTGACTTACTGAGCTTTATATTTTTTTGGTTTTGATTGTTCAGTTGGGTGTTTTCACCTCACTTAAGGTGAAGATGAGGATGAAGTGGCTTGAGGGGTGTGGCTGAATGAGAAGTTAGTTAAACTCTTTTTCTGTAGCTGAAGGTGCTGCAGAGTCCACATGGACTGAAATGTATTCTGGCAATCACGTACAAGGCCACACATGTCCATGTCAAACATGGTGTGCACAATGCCAGAAACACTCTCCATGTTCTATGCTCACTACATTAACATATTAAAACTTTTTGTTTGAAGGAGGAGAAGAGGAGGAAGAAGAGCCACCAAAAGTCATTGTTAATGAAATAAAAGAGGATGATGCTTTCTACTCTAAGAAGTAAGTGACATTAGCTTGGAGTAGTGAATAGAATTATAAGTTGGAGGATAAAATTCATACCTGCATAGTGCTGTTCTTCACCACTGCAGCATAATTAATGACATGTATGTTCTTGACTTCCTAGTTATTAAAGCTTGTTAGGAATCCATATAGAATATGAACTTCCACTTGTAAAAAGTTAATTACAGGCAGGAATGTGTAAGATCTTACTAGAACTCTTCTGTATCTTGGACACAGCACTAATAGCTAGTTTGAGTTCTACTTGGGATCAGTTTTTCACAAAAAATGAAGATGTTTCTGCCTTGATCAGGTTTTGTCAGTTAAAATTGCAGGGCTTGTACCACAGAAATCATGTACTGTACTGCTGGAAAACCCTCCAGTGCTCAGCTATTTGCATAGCCTAAAATGAGGCTCTTCAGTTGGAAAATGCTGATTGTATCAAGGGGTGAACAAGTTGTACTTCTAAGTTCAAAATGATACTGCTCTACTCGAAGCAGTTTGTCAAACCTTGTTCAGCAGCCCAAGTTATTTGCATGTCTGCTTGGCACACAGCACAGGATTTCTGTCCTGCTACAAAAAGTCATTAGTTATATCTGGGAGAAGGTGTGTGCTAATTTATTAAGAGTGGCATTGGGTTTATTAGAGCTTCACTTTAAAAATGTTTTTAAATTGTACATAAAAGTCCTACTGTAACTTTGGAATGATACAGCAAGTTCTTATGGCTTTGTAATTAGTGCGTTTTAAAAGTAGCTTACAGTTGCTGCTCCTCAGTTTCTGAGTACAGGTTGCTGTGCACTTTACCTGCAGATAACATGTTTGTCATTTCAGTACTGAAAGAAAGTACCTTCCTCTTTGAACTGTGTGCAGTGTCTGTTAGCACATGAAACAAGATCATTTATGTTACTCACAGCATGTTAACGCCTGATTATTGTTGCTGTGAGTCAGTGTTTGGGAGATACCTTTGTATTTTATCTCTACATGGCTGCACAAACAAATATTTTGGGTTTGCTTTTTGTTTTTTCTACAGGTGCAAACTGTTCTATAAAAAGGATAATGAATTTAAAGAAAAAGGGGTAGGAACATTACACTTAAAACCAGCAGGAAATGAAAAAACTCAACTCCTAGTCCGAGCAGATACCAATTTAGGTAAGTCAGTTTCTTCCAGTAGCAAGGCTTGATGTGAAATTCATTGCTAAGCATTAGAGATGTTTTTATGTGGTTACACAGGTTAACAGGTACAACTAGTGACAACCTTTCTACTTTATCTATGAATAATTTAAAATATGAAACAAGCACTTGGATGCCTCTAATGAGCATTAAAAAAGAGTGCACATGAAGCAGTGCAAGAAGTAGAACGTTTTGGAGTATGTTTGGGTATTCTTCCCTCCTTTCTTTTTTTTTTACTAGCCTTTCTCCATCCCTGACTTGAGAATTTTTGAAGTGTGGCTTCAGGTACAGCTTCCATAAAATGGGATATCTATTATGCTTATAGAATCCCTGAGGACTGAAGCCAGGCTGCACTGCAGGCCATGGGTAAATCTCAGCTCACTTCCAGTTCATACTGCTCTCCAGCAAGTCTGGATAAAGTCCCTGCAGGCACCTTGGGGCAGTTTTCAGGCACCCAGTGAGACTGGGACTGCTGTGTCAGTGTCTCAGTCCCTCACTCCTTTCAGTGGAGCCAAGGTTTGACAGCTACAGGGCAGTTCTCAGCACGGAAACAGCTGAGGGGCAGAGCTGGCAGTGTTTTCAGGGTTTCCTTGGGGTCTGAATGTGCTGAATAGAAGAGATGACACCTGGATTTCTCTGAGTTACCTCCCCTGTAACTCCAGTCTTGATCTTCAGTCAGCTGATGCTAATTTTTGTGGTCTTGATGTACAGTCCCTCTGCCTTCATCCGCAGAGATGCATTAGGAAGTCTTTCCTTTTTCTCCAGCTCATACACTAAGACATTTGAGCTTGGTGATTCCAAGCACGGGTTCTAGAAGCTGCAGCAGTCACAGTGATGCACACTTTCCTCTTTGCTGTCTTCACACAGTGCTATATTCCTTTCCTAAAATCTCACTGTGTTGAAAAACTGAACTGGAAAGTGAGGTGAAGACTGACTTTTCCTAAATACTACTGCCGTGTTCTGAGCTGTTTCCCAGGTTTATAAACATGTGTGTCTTCCGTGGAAGCAGATTGGAGTTTGTTTGCAGTTGTTTTAATTGCTCACTAATCCTGGAGCTCTCAAACTTGCTCCATGATTTAACAAGTTGACGCAGAGCTGCTGAAAGTAACCCAGCATAGACCACATCAGCTCTGCTGTGTGATTTGAGGATACAAGTACTGACTCTACCCTGGTTTGTCCAGTTTTAGATGCACATGTCTGTCTGTATCAGAGCTAATGCTTTGCTTCTGCTTAACTGCATCTGATGGTCAGAATGAGTAACTTGGCATAAACTTGGCACTGTGACTGGATTCCTCATCTGCTGCTTTTCCCTTGTCCTTGTGTGTCCCTGATACCATTTGATATTCTTCAGGCTGCTCCCTTTAAAAAAGGAGGATGCAGTATTTGTACATATTTTCCTCATTCCTAATGAGGAAAGAAATCTGAGAACCATTGCCATGAGCAGATGCGTAGGGAAGAATAAGATGAACCTAGATGATGCTTGTGAATTGCCTTCTTTCCAAACACCACCTCACATCCCTGTTTAGTACCAGTACTAACATTGTATTGCAGTAAAAGCTGAAAAACGGCTAATTGTCATTTTTTCTCCTCTCCCAATATGCAGGAAATATACTGTTGAATGTTCTAATTCCACCTAAGATGCCATGCACAAGAACCGGAAAAAACAACGTTCTTATAGTTTGTGTTCCTAATCCACCGATCGACGAGAAGAATCCAACTGTTCCTGTCACTATGTTAATAAGGGTGAAAACAAGTGAGGATGCAGATGAGTTGCACAAAATCCTACTGGAGAAAAAGGAGGCTTAAATAAGTTGCAGTCAGTGATTTGAAGAATTATTGCCAAACTGCTGCTGCTCTTTTTTTTTTTCTTCCCTAACTTCACTTGAACATTTAACTCTTTACTCTGATATTAAGAACTGTTATAGGAATTCTGGAAAAGTTATGTGAGGAAAAGCTAAACTAGCTAATAAAAGCTTTAATAGAATACAAGTGTTGGACTGTGCTCCCTCATTTTTCAGTATCTAAATGCAGGACCTCTTCTGGATAAAGCACATGGATGTAAATCCAAGCATATGTTTTTAGCACCGGTCAAGCAACTGGACTGAAATCCGAGTACAAACACACGGTACCAGAACTTCCTCACAGACTGTGGTGCAATGCAACCACCTCCTGTTTTGAGAAGGGAGGATGCTGAAGTTTACCTGTTGAAACTGTTTCTAGGCTGCAGATTTTTAATTTTAATTGGTCTGCTGTGTTCTGGGGAGACTGATGTTTCAGGCTCGGTGACCACACTGCACCCACCAACTGATCTATCTTGTGCTGTGTCTGAACTCTCACAGACCCACGTGCGTTTGGGACTCAGAGACTGCAGATGTTGGAAAGAAAACTTGCTTGTGTAGTCTTGTTGACAGTAGTGTTTCCTAGAGAAGAACTGTCAGTTCTGTTCTTACTGTAGCAACAAGCTAATGATGTGCAATAGTACAAGCAGACAACTGGAAGACTGTTCCTCTCGGCCCACACTGGCAGCCGCTGGCAAAGGTTGTGCTTCCACGCCGGTCCCTCCGAGGTGTTGGTCCCTAGTCCCTTGGATCACACCTGAAACCCAGCAGAGACAGAGCTGTATGTGTTGTGTTTGTCTTGCTACTGGTACTTTGCTGAAGAGAGCTCTTCCCACAAACAAGCTTCAGGACTTTTACAGACCTTTGTATCGCCTCTGGCCCTTAGCAGGACACACGTGCGTGAGTGTGCGTGTCAGTACTTAATTCCCATGTGCTAAGGCTGCAGTGCTGTGCTGCACCAAGTCCAGCAGCAGTGTGCAGCTTCAGCACAAGCTTTCTGTTGCACGTAGGGAGTGCTGGGTTCATCCAGAACTTAGTTTTCATCTATGTTAAAGTTAACCATGTGGCAATAATTTGTGGATCGGAACATCATTCTGGTCTTGGTTTCCATCTCAACTTTATCAGACTATGTTTGGTGACTTAATCCTTTCTTTTTCAAAATTTCTTTGCTGGAAACTCCTTCCCTAGGAATTGTTTTTCTACTTCACTTCCAACTCGGGACCTCTCCAAGAGTTAGGGGTTAATATTAAACTTGAACTGCTCTCAGATCTGTCACACTGACCAGCTCTGGGAAGATGGAACAAACATGCCAACCTGCCTCTGGCTAATGTGACACAGAGGAAAACCCTTTCCTTTAAAAAAAAAAAAAGCAGCGTGACACAATTCTCCCAGGGAACCTGGAAAGTAGCACCATTTGCTGAGGTGCAGCACATCTTACCTGTCCCCACTGCTCTGGGGGGACAGATGGCTGCCTCTAGGCCTAATTCACTGCACAATTCAGGTTATGACCTTTTTTCCCCCTCAACTAAAAGGAGGAACAACTTGATAGAATCTATACCCCTCTTGACCAAAGTTTAAAAACAAAGGCCTTTGCTCACATTTCAGCTACACTCAGCATACAGGACTTGCATTTTGAACACTGATGTGTAAAGGAAGTTTAGATGCCATTTCGGATATTATTTGAAGTATAAACTGGTGCCTTTTGGGGTCACTTTTGCATCTGGCTCAGTAATTAAACCATGAAAAGTTAGTGACATGACTTTCCTCAAATAATGTGCTTATTTAAAAAAAAGTCTTGCTGCTACCTAAATTGAAGGCCAAAAGCTGAGGGCATGTGTGCTCACTGTGTGTGAATGAAAACCAGACCATTGCCTGACAGTGTATTCCAAGCTCAGGTCTCAGGTCCAAGGGCTCAGTTAATTTTGCATTTGTCTATTGATTGTGGTGTCTTAACTATGTGTCCGTGAAAAAGGTTTATAGACCAGAGCTCTGGTGGCACATCCCAGTGAAGAGCAGCTCTGTATGGGTGGTGTCAGTGGGTTTGGGCTTGTGTTTGTTTGTTTCCAAAAGCTCTTGGATAGGGAACTGTTCCTTCATCCAGAGAAATGTGGACCAACCAACTTAAAAAAGTAAAGGACAAACTGAACTTCCTCTTCTGCCCTGATGCTTTGCCTCTGAAGTGAGGCAGTCGTGGGGTTTTGCACGCACAGGTTTGACCCAATTCTGACAGTGCATCCCTGGCCTGTTTCCAGGGGGGAGCACAGAGTGTAAGGAAAAACAAGTAGAATAATAATAAATTGTGCTGGAAAAATAAAACTCTACCGTGGGCACAGTAGCAAGTAATATCTTCTCTTAGCTGTGGGAAAAATTGAGGTGGACACCTGAATTCTTTAGTATTTATCAGTAAAGCTAGGGGAAGGTAAATAACCTTCATTAGAATGTCAAATAGCTGCATACACATACCATTTTAAACATCTCACACCAAGAAAGTTGCCCCTAAAAGAATAGGGAAGAATTTTACTGCAAATGAGATTTTAGTTAACGTCAATTAATGCTGACCCTGCCATTACTGGACTAGGAAAGTCAGTCACCCTTTTCACTTGTGGTCAGGTATAAAGCACAGCCCTTCTCCAGGACTGGCAGAAAAAGAAATTTTTGATGATGTTTCAGTTTCCAGTTAAGAAATATTAAGTTACACATATACTGTAAAAGATCAGAGATTATTACATAGAATTTAAGACCTAAAATGTGTTATAAAAGCAAAAGTTAGTGGAGAGCATAGACATCAATGTACTAATGCCTTTATAACAAAGTGGCACATGCTATCCAGGGAAGGAATTTTGATCAGAATTCCAACTCAAGGAGGCATTCCT